CTCGCCCAGCAGACCCTGAATCGAGTCCCGGTGTGGGAACATCTTTTGCTTTTCTTTCTTTCTGCTTCTTCTATTTCGTCTACCTCGCACGCTTTCTCAGCGAGATTACAACAAGCGCGTCGTAGTCACTCGGTAAGTTTCGCCTGCAAGTCCTTACACTCCTGCATGTAGTAATGCCAAACCTACCGTCTGGGCCTTTTCACGGTGGAGTGTCGCCACTGTCATCAGCGATGACCTTCCCTCGGACGCCCACTAGCGTCAACCGGCTGAACCGAGCCAAAGGACGGCTAGGTGGCCTCGAGCAGCGTGTAATAAATATGTCGTCCCGACGAGACAATGAATAGCGTCGATGAGTTTTTGCGGCTCAGCAAAGGCAATGAGCGGAGTCGTATCCGTGAGAGCGCTTGGAAGGATGGCGAATGCGTATGAAGCGTGCGTTTGGGGCTGGTTGCAGGTGGTTGCAGTGGTTGTGCGTGTGTGTGTATTTGCGTTGGGTTTGTGATTTTGAGTGTGGTTTCAATGTTCAGCCTTCCATATCGTCTAGGCGGTTCGGATAGCTGGCTCTCACCCAGCAGACCCGGGTTCGAGTCCCGGTGTGGGAACATCTTTTGCTTTTCTTTCTTTCTGCTTCTTCTATTTCGTCTACCTCGCACGCTTTCTCAGCGAGATTACCACAAGCGCGTCGTAGTCACTCGGTAAGTTTCGCCTGCAAGTCCTTACACTCCTGCATGTAGTAATGCCAAACCTACCGTCTGGGCCTTTTCACGGTGGAGTGTCGCCACTGTCATCAGCGATGACCTTTCCTCGGACGCCGACTAGCGTCAACCGGCTGAACCGAGCCAAAGGACGGCTAGGTGGCCTCGAGCAGCGTGTAATAAATATGTCTTCCCAACGAGACGATGAATAGCGTCGATGCGTTTATGCGGCTCAGCAAAGGCAATGAGCGGAGTCGTATCCGTGAGAGCGCTTGGAAGGATGGCGAGTGCGTATGAAGCGTGCGTTTGGGGCGTGGTTGCAGTGGTTGCAGTGGCTGTGCGTGTGTGTATTTGCGTTGGGTTTGTGATTTTGAGTGCGGTTTCAATGTTCAGGCTTCCAATATAGATAAAGTAGGCGGTTCGGATAGCTGGCTCTCGCCCAGCAGACCCGGGTTCGAGTCCCGGTGTGGGAACATCTTTTGCTTTTCTTTCTTTCTGCTTCTTCTATTTCGTCTACCTCGCACGCTTTCACAGCGAGATTACAACAAGCGCGTCGTAGTCACTCGGTTATGTTCACGTCAAATCTACCGTCTGGGCCTTTTCACGGTGGAGTGTCGCCGCTGTCATCAGCGATGACCTTTCCACGGACGCCCACTAGCGCCAACCGACTGAACCGAACCAAGGACAGCTAGATGGCCTCGAGCAGCGTGTAATAAATATGTCGTCCCGATGAGCGATGAATAGCGTCGATGCGTTTATGCGGCTCAGCAAAGGCAATGAGCGTAGTCGTATCCGTGAGAGCGCTTGGAAGGATGGCGAGAGCGTATGAAGCGTGCGTTTGGGGCGTGGTTGCAGTGGTTGCAGTGGTTGTGCGTGTGTGTATTTGCGTTGGGTTTGTGATTTTGAGTGCGGTTTCGTTGTTCAGCCTTCCATATAGGCTACGCGGTTAGGATAGCTGGCTCTCGCCCAGCAGACCCTGAATCGAGTCCCGGTGTGGGAACATCTTTTGCTTTTCTTTCTTTCTGCTTCTTCTATTTCGTCTACCTCGCACGCTTTCTCAGCGAGATTACAACAAGCGCGTCGTAGCTACTCGGTAAGCTCCACCTGGGAGTCCCTACGATCCTGCATGTAGTAATGCCAAACCTACCGTCTGGGCCTTTTCACGGTGGAGTGTCGCCACTGTCATCAGCGATGACCTTTCCTCGGCGCCCACTAGCGTCAACCGGCTGAACCGAGCCAAAGGACGGCTAGGTGGCCTCGAGCAGCGTGTAATAAATATGTCTTCCCGACGAGACGATGAATAGCGTCGATGAGTTTTTGCGGCTCAGCAAAGGCAATGAGCGGAGTCGTATCCGTGAGAGCGCTTGGAAGGATGGCGAGAGCGTATGAAGCGTGCGTTTGGGGCGTGGTTGCAGTGGTTGCGGTGGTTGTGCGTGTGTGTATTTGCGTTGGGTTTGTTATTTTGAATGCGGTTTCATTGTTCAGCCTTCCCATATAGTCTAGGCGGTTAGGATAGCTGGCTCTCACCCAGCAGACCCGGGTTCGAGTCCCGGTGTGGGAACATCTTTTGCTTTTCTTTCTTTGTGCTTCTTCTATTTCGTCTACCTTGCACGCTTTCTCAGCGAGATTACAACAAGCGCGTCGTAGTCACTCGGTAAGTTTCGCCTGCAAGTCCTTACACTCCTGCATGTAGTAATGCCAAACCTACCGTCTGGGCCTTTTCACGGTGGAGTGTCGCCACTGTCATCAGCAAAGACCTTTCCACTGACGCCCACTAGCGTCAACCGGCTAAACCGAGCCAAAGGACGGCAAGGTGGCCTCGAGCAGCGTGTAATAAATATGTCTTCCCGACGAGACGTAGAATAGCGTCGATGAGTTTTTGCGGCTCAGCAAAGGCAATGAGCGGATTCGTATCCGTGAGAGCGCTTGGAAGGATGGCGAGAGCGTATGAAGCGTGCGTTTGGGGCGTGGTTGTAGTGGTTGCAGTGGCTGTGCGTGTGTGTGTATTTGCGTTGGGTTTGTGATTTTGAGTGCGGTTTCAATGTTCAGCCTTCCATATAGTCTAGGCGGTTAGGATAGCTGGCTCTCGCCCAGCAGACCCTGAATCGAGTCCCGGTGTGGGAACATCTTTTGCTTTTCTTTCTTTCTGCTTCTTCTATTTCGTCTACCTCGCACGCTTTCTCAGCGAGATTACAACAAGCGCGTCGTAGTCACTCGGTAAGTTCCACCTGCAAGCCCTTACACTCCTGCATGTAGTAATGCCAAACCTACCGTCTGGGCCTTTTCACGGTGGAGTGTCGCCACTGCCATCAGCGATGACCTTCCCTCGGACGCCCACTAGCGTCAACCGGCTGAACCGAGCCAAAGGACGGCTAGGTGGCCTCGAGCAGCGTGTAATAAATATGTCGTCCCGACGAGACGATGAATAGCGTCGATGAGTTTTTGCGGCTCAGCAAAGGCAATGAGCGGAGTCGTATCCGTGAGAGCGCTTGGAAGGATGGCGAATGCGTATGAAGCGTGCGTTTGGGGCGTGGTTGCAGTGGTTGCAGTGGTTGTGCGTGTGTGTGTATTTGCGTTGGGTTTGTGATTTTGAGTGCGGTTTCAATGTTCAAGCCTTCCAATATAGTCTAGGCGGTTCGGATAGCTGGCTCTCGCCCAGCAGACCCTGAATCGAGTCCCGGTGTGGGAACATCTTTTGCTTTTCTTTCTTTCTGCTTCTTCTTTTTCGTCTACCTCGCACGCTCTCTCAGCGAGATAACAACAAGCGCGTCATAGTCACTCGGTAAGTTCCGTCTGGGAGTCCCTACGCTCCTGCATGTAGTAATTCTAATCCTACCGTCTGGGCCTTTTCACGGTGGAGTGTCGCCACTGTCATCAGCGATGACCTGTCCTCGGACGCCCACTAGCGTCAACCGGCTGAACCGAGTCAAAGGACGGCAAGGTGGCCTCGAGCAGCGTGTAAAAAACATGTCGTCCCGACGAGACGATGAATAGCGTCGATGAGTTTTTGCGGCTCAGCAAAGGCAATGAGCGGAGTCGTATCCGTGAGAGCGCTTGGAAGGATGGCGAGAGCGTATGAAGCGTGCGTTTGGGGCGTGGTTGCAGTGGTTGCAGTGGTTGTGCGTGTGTGTGTATTTGCGTTGGGTTTGTTATTTTGAGTGCGATTTCGTTGTTCAGTCTTCCCATATCGTGTAGGCGGTTCAAATAGCTGGCTCTCACCCAGCAGACCCGGGTTCGAGTCCAGGTGTGGAAACATCGTTTGCTTTTCTTTCTTTCTGCTTCTTCTATTTCATCTACTTTGCACGCTTTCTCAGCGAGGTTACAACAACCGCGTCGCAGTCACTCGGTAAGTTCCGCCTGCGAGTCGCTACGCTCCTGCATGTGGTAATGTCAAACCTACCGTCTGGGCCTTTGCACGGTAGAGTGGCGCCACTGTCATCAGCGATGACCTTTCCACGGACGCTCACTAGCGTCAACCGGCTGAACCGAACCAAAGGACGGCAAGGTGGCTTCGAGCAGCGTGTAATAAATACGTCGTCCCGATGAGACGATGAATAGCGTCGATGAGTTTATGCGGCTCAGCAAAGGCAATGGGCGGGGTCGTATCCGTGAGAGCGCTTGGAAGGATGGCGAGTGCGTATGAAGTGTGCGTTTGGGGCGTGGTTGCAGTGGTTGCAGTGGTTGTGCGTGTGTGTATTTGCGTTGGGTTTATAATTTTGAGTGCGGTTTCATTGTTCAGCCTTCCCATATAGTCTAGGCGGTTAGGATAGCTGGCTCTCACCCAGCAGACCCGGGTTCGAGTCCCGGTGTGGGAACATCTTTTGCTTTTCTTTCTTTCTGCTTCTTCTATTTCGTCTACTTTGCACGCTTTTTCAGCGAGATTACAACAACCGCGTCGCAGTCACTCGGTAAGTTCCGCCTGCGAGACCTTACACTGCTACATGTGGTAATGCCAAACCTACCGTCTGGGCCTTTGCACGGTGGAGTGTCGCCACTGTCATCAGCAATGACCTTTCCACGGACGCCCACTAGCGTCAACCGGCTGAACTAAACCAAAGGACGGCAAGGTGGCCTCGAGCAGCGTGTAATAAATACGTCGTCCCGATGAGACGATGAATAGCGTCGATGCGTTTATGCGGCTCAGCAAAGGCCATGAGCGGGGTCGTATCTGTGAGAGCGCTTCGAAGGATGGCGAGTGCGTATGAAGTGTGCGTTTGGGGCGTGGTTGCAGTGGTTGAAGTGGTTGTGCGTGTGTGTATTTGCGTTGGGGTTAATAATTTTGAGTACGGTTTCATTCTTCAGCCTTCCCATATAGTCTAGGGGTTAGGATAGCTGGCTCTTACCCAGGAGACTCGGGGTCGAGTGCCAGTGTGTGTAACATCCTTTTGCTTTTCTTTCGTTCTGCCTCTTCCTATTTCGGCTACTTTGCACGCTTTCTCATCGAAGATTACAACAAGGGCGTCGCAGGTCACATCGGGTAGGTTCCGCCTGCGAGTCGCTACGCTCCTGCATGTGGTAATGTCAAACCTACCGTCTGGGCCTTTTTAACGGTGGAAGCGTCGCCACTGTCATCAGCGATGACCTTTCCACGGACGCCCACTAGCGTCAACCGGCTGAACCGAACCAAAGGACGGCTAGGTGGCCTCGAGCAGCGTGTAATAAATATGTCGTCCCGATGAGCGATGAATAGCGTCGATGGATTTTTGCGGCTCAGCAAAGGCAATGAGCGGAGTCGTATCGGTGAGAGCGCTTGAAAGGATGGCGAGAGCGTATGAAGCGTGCGTTTGGGGCGTGGTTGCAGTGGTTGCAGTGGTTGTGCGTGTGTGTATATTTGCGTTGGGTTTGTGATTTTGAGTGCGGTTTCAATGTTCAGCCTTCCATATCGTCTAGGCGGTTCGGATAGCTGGCTCTCGCCCAGCAGACCCTGAATCGAGTCCCGGTGTGGGAACATCTTTTGCTTTTCTTTCTTTCTGCTTCTTCTTTTTCGTCTACCTCGCACGCTTTCTCAGCGAGATTACCACAAGCGCGTCGTAGCTACTCGGTAAGTTCCGCCTGTGAGCCCTTACGCTCCTGCATGTAGTAATGCCAAGCCTACCGTCTGGGCTTTTTCACGGTGGAGTGTCGCCACTGTCATCAGCGATGACCTTTCCTCGGACGCCCACTAGCGTCAACCGGCTGAACCGAACCAAAGGACAGCTAGGTGGCCTCGAGCAGCGTGTAAAATATATGTCGTCCCGATGAGCGATGAATAGCGTCGATGCGTTTATGCGGCTCAGCAAAGGCAATGAGAGTAGTCGTATCCGTGAGAGCGCTTGGAAGGATAGCGAGTGCGTATGAAGCGTGCGTTTGGGGCGTGGTTGCAGTGGTTGCAGTGGTTGTGCGTGTGTGTATTTGCGTTGGGTTTGTGATTTTGAGTGCGGTTTCATTGTTCAGCCTTCCATATCGTCTAGGCGGTTCGGATAGCTGGCTCTCACCCAGCAGACCCTGAATCGAGTCCCGGTGTGGGAACATCTTTTGCTTTTCTTTCTTTCTGCTTCTTCTATTTCGTCTACCTCGCACGCTTTCTCAGCGAGATTACCACAAGCGCGTCGTAGCTACTCGGTAAGTTCCGCCTGGAAGTCCCTACGCTCCTGCATGTAGTAATACCAAACCTACTGTCTGGGCCTTTTCCCGGTGGAGTGTCGCCACTGTCATCAGCGATGACCTTACCTCGGACGCCGACTAGCGTCAACCGGCTGAACCGAGCCAAAGGACGGCAAGGTGGCCTCGAGCAGCGTGTAATAAATACGTTGTCCCGATGAGCGATGAATAGCGTCGATGCGTTCATGCGGCTCAACAAAGGCAATGAGCGTAGTCGTATCCGTGAGAGCGCTTGAAAGGATGGCGAGTGCGTATGAAGCGTGCGTTTGGGGGCGTGGCTGCAGTGGTTGCAGTGGTTGTGCGTGTGTGTATTTGCGTTGGGTTTGTTATTTTGAGTGCGGTTTCAATGTTCAGGCTTCCAATATAGTCTAGGCGGTTCGGGATAGCTGGCTCTCACCCAGCAGACCCGGGTTCGAGTCCCGGTGTGGGAACATCTTTTGCTTTTCTTTCTTTCTGCTTCTTCTATTTCGTCTACCCTCGCACGCGTTTCTCAGCGAGATATCAACAAGCGCGTCGTAGTCACTCGGTAAGTTCCGCCTGGGAGTCCCTACGCTCCTGCATGTAGTAATTCTAATCCTACCGTCTGGGCCTTTTCACGGTGGAGTGTCGCCACTGTCATCAGCAATGACCTTTCCACGGACTCCCACTAGCGTCAACCGGCTGAACCGAGTCAAAGGACGGCAAGGTGGCCTCGAGCAGCGTGTAAAAAACATGTCGTCCCGACGAGACGTAGAATAGCGTCGATGAGGTTTTGCGGCTCAGCAAAGGCAATGAGCGGAGTCGTATCCGTGAGAGCGCTTGGAACGATGGCGAGAGCGTATGAAGCGTGCGTTTGGGGCGTGGTTGTAGTGGTTGCAGTGGCTGTGCGTGTGTGTGTATTTGCGTTGGGTTTGTTATTTTGAGTGCGATTTCGTTGGTCAGCCTTCCCATATCGTGTAGGCGGTTAGGATAGCTGGCTCTCACTCAGCAGACCCGGGTTCGAGTCCCGGTGTGGGAACATCTTTTGCTTTTCTTTCTTTCTGCTTCTTCTATTTCGTCTACCTC